TCTCACGTTTAATTGGGCCTACTGTCCTTTTGGGCCTTTCCTACCATCCTATCCAACACAGCGCACAGGGTGAAACGCTACGGACAAACCCTAAACACGTTCGCGACCTGCTCTGTTCCGACGGCGCCGCCTGATATGGCCTCGGAGAACGAGGCTTCCTCGCCGTCCACCGTTCATCACCTCTCCGATCCACCCACCGCTCCTCATTGCTCCAGGGGGCCACGCCTCATCGCCAGATCACGCGCTGTACACGCTCGGAGGCGCTCGATGCGGCGACGCGGGCGATCTGGGTCAATCCAGCCAAGTTGCGGGTGGGGATCAAGTTGAGGCGAGGCTCGCGAGGGGATCCGGCGTGGGATGTGGCTGAATCGGATGCCGATCGATCTAGTCGGCCGCAGTGCGTGAGGACCTGGCCGTGGTTGCCGCTGGTGAGAGCCCCTTCTAGAGCCCCCACCTCTCATCTTCATCCCCTGTTTTTGGGATATTGACAGAATGTACTGATATTTCCTACATATATCCGTTCCAAAGAAGAGACTAGATAAATTGATTCCTGCACTAAGTTTGCATCCAAAGGTTCATGTAGATACATGGTTGCTCTTTCACTGCAAGAAGATGATGCCTATTTGTTCTCATTTGTCTGACAAAGCTGCAACATACCAGTAGAATAGCAGGTTATGCACATGGGTACTTTGTGGAGCCGACTCTTCAATATTTTGACATAATTTTTCTGAATTATTGACAACAAATTACAAATTGGAAATAAAGGTTTGTTTCCTCAATAGTGTAACACGTTTTGTTGGAAATTGGAATAGAATGACTGCTATATATGATTTTTGAAGTATGTACTACGCTACAACAATACAAGGTACATGTTGCCACCACTGATTTGGTTTGTTCTGTGTGCAGATCACCACACTTTGCTCCGCGAGCCAGCCGTCACGTCAATGGCAGAGGGACCACCCATCGACTTGAGCATCCGACAACGCCCATAACTAACTAAGAGCCAGACCTTCTTGCTGCACCTAACTGTCATGGTTGGTTCTTTA